TGCCCTTAGTTAAAATGGCCACGGTCAGAAGAATGGGGAAGAAAAGAAAAATAAGGTATGCAAAAAAAAAAAATACTGCAATTTGTAGATTGCCATTACTAAACATTTCTAAAGGTGCCTTTGTTGTTATTTTGAAGATATGCGTAAAGTTCCTCTTTATCAAATGACACCACCAAACTTCTAATTACCGCCCTTATTATTTCTCTGCTTGACTATAACAACTTCTACCTCATTGGCCTAGCTTTACACAGGCTACCCCCATCCAGTCTAAATGCTGCTGCCAGAATTATTCACCGTACTAACTGCTCACTGGCTGCAGCCCCTCTCTGCCAATCACCTCACTCACGCTTGCCCAGAGAACAAAATAAAAAATACTAAAAATAACATACAAAGCCATCCACATCTTTGCCAATGCTACATCACAACTGTGGCCGCTATATAAATCCTGAAAAATAATACTACTAATAAAATAATATACAGAAGGCCTCCTGAATATTTATACCTGTCTCCCGTCTGTAGCGGTTACTGGGTTCCTTTGAGGGCTAATACAGGAAGGATAGTGGGAGAAGACATGTAAGCCACAGTTGACCAATCTCCTTTGTTTAGATTGAACCTGAAAGCCCTCACATTTGGGTACTTCCAGGTTCAGAGCACTCAGAATGTGGGCAGAAATTGCTGGGTGAGCATGAGATGAGGGACTATGTTTCTCAATCTGCATGGACTGCAGGAAAAGGGGGTATTAGGGGTCTAATAGACCATTGATGTCTCCATAATGAGCAGCCAGATCCTTTTCAACAGTAATAAAGCTCAATTAAAATAAATAGATAATAAAATCTGCAGTCAACAAAACATCTAAAAGGTAAGAACTATTTTTCTCAGCACCTTCAGAGTAATCTGTCCTAATAGAAAGACTTAGGACTAAAATTTGAGAATTGTGTTTATCTCATTAACTTTATTAATATATGATGAAGAAGCCCCTCACCCCTCACCCCTCACAACCCCTCCTAACATTACAAAAGAAGAAGAAGCAAGTACAAATGTTAACCCTTAGGAAGATAGGAAAACCTAACCCAAGTAAAAGCAATTTAAACGACAAGAAGCATTTTTATTATTTTTTTGTAGCTTATGCTATGTGACTGGGGACATGTAACAAATATAAAATAGGTGTTATCCCAATTTGGCTGCAAAAGTGAAAATACACTTTAAGCTATATGTGGTATTGTAGAACAGTACGATTCTTGGGGACAGCATCAGTGACAGTGTATCCTAGCAGCACATAATTAGATTGTGAAATGTAGTAGCCCTATCTGATTCATTTTAACTTGAAAAATTATTTATTTAGGTAATGTCTGCTGCAACACACACAGGGTTATTCACAAAGCTAGTCTAAGGATCAGCCATAGCTCTGGCTGATCTTTTGGCTAGCTTCGGCCACCGGGGCCCTTCGGTTCAGTCGACCCGAAGGGCTGCTGTACAGGCTATTTACTATAGCCCGTACAGCTCCCGAAGTTGGCCAAGCGGCTCAGTCGAGCGGAAGGCATATGCTTCGGCTCAACTGAGCCGAGGTGAAACCCGAAGCGGGCCGACCACCAACAGCTGGGCGGAGCCAGCCGTGACCTCACGGCTGGCTTCAGCCAGTTGCAATAACAGTTCAGCATCTCCTGGTTACCTGGTAACCAGGGGGATGCTGAACTGTCACTAAACAATGACAACTTGGCAGAGCCGAGCACTAGCATTTTTTCACTGTTTGGCTATTCTGCTTGGTAACACGAAGGTATTGAGCAGAATACCGGAGCCGAATGCCACTCAGCGGCATTCGGCTATTCACTCACTGCCGTTCGGCCCCTATGAGGATAGGCCGATCAGCAGCGAGTAGCCTGCCAGAGGTTCGGCTCAGCCGATCCAGATGTTGGATCGGCTGAGTCGAACTCCTTCTGCCCTTCAGGTCGGCCAAATATGCTGAGCATTGTAGGCCGACCCAAAGCCAGCCGATGTACGGCTGAAATCAGCTGTACAGGCCTAAAGTGAATAGCCGAACAGCGTTCGGCTAACGTCACTTCGGGTCGGTTATCCGCATGGCTGCCTTCGGCAGCTTTGTGAATAACCCTGACAATGTTTTCTATCCAGCAGAACAGGTCTAACAGCTATTGAAGGGTTACATTCCTCAAATTCATAACAACTACCAAACATTGACATGTCGTGACATTTTTCATAGCATAGCTTGTGAATTTCTTTTAGTGCAGTACTACAATGTATTGTCTACAAAGTTTAATCAAATGTCAACACAGAGTAGGGTACACAAAAACATTTCAAACCACAACCCCACATTCCAGAAATGAGGAGTTGTTCTGAAGAAATAAAAATGACAGAGCCATAATTTAGAGATGATAGTCATGTCAGAAATTTGGGCAAAAAGTGAGCTTTTGTTTGAATTGAAAATGCGGAATGCCTTCAGTAACAGATTATACACAACCAGCCAGTCTTCTACGGTGCTCCTGAAGGTGGAGATGGGCTTTGCTGTGTGCTGGTGCCACGTTGCAACCCCCAGGTTTTCCCTGCTGCAGATGCAGAGACATGTTGTGGAAAAGGATTTGGACACAAGGCAGAGTACAAGCAGGCAGAGTAAAAAGAAGATCCATGTAAAAGGTCAGGGCAAGCATCAGACAAACAAATCCCAGGGACAAAACTGGGGGCAGGCCAGCAGAAGTCGCAGCAGATGGTAATGGTGGCAGATGAAGAGAGTGCAGTTGCTAATGACACTGCGCTACTCTGCTACTGGGAGAAGGAGGAAGGGGATGACAAAGTCTTGGTTAACCACTCAACCACCTCCTCCACATGTTCTGGAAGTATGTGCCCATTGCCAGAAAGCAAGACATGCCCTGCCTCTCAAAGGTGCTGCCTGACCCATGATTTTTCATGTGGATGCCCTGCCTGCCCACCACCCTACTAGCTGCACATGAAGAACCTCTGCCCCTACCTTTAGGCCTCCCAGGAGTGATGACACTAACGGATTGCCAGGGCTTGAAAAATTTGACGTTGTCTCACCAGTCAGTCAAAAATTTCACCAGTCAGCATGACCGGACTATATTTTTTGAGGACAGATTAAAAAAAAAAAAAGTTTCCCTATGTTATGTTATAAAACATTTATTCTTACCCATATTTTTAGTAAAACATAAAAGTCGGGGTCACGTCGGGTAAATAGACACCAAATATAGACACCAAAGCCCTAAAATTGCGTGCGCCCGCAAAATCGCAAAACAACGTCCATAGACGACGATTAAAATGCTTTTACTGCTCATCAGTTTAGTGTTATCAGTGATTAATGGCTCTAAAATTATTGCTCTCACTCCGACGTTTGCGGCGATATATGTAACATGTGCGGCACAATAGGCGTAATCGTCGTTTTCGCACGTAGGCGCACCGGACGCATATCTGCGTGTGTATGTGGGGGGCGGGGACTTAAAAAAAACTTTATTTTTTTATGATTCTTTAATTTTTGTATTACTTTTTTTTTTACACACAACTTTATTGCTATTACATGGGGGGCTAGGAAGCCCCCTATGGGATAGCCAATTTACATGACAGGTCCTCTTTATGGAGACATCAGGGGTCTCCAAGACCCCTAATGTCACCTAGGGACCCCCAGAGAAGCTGATGAAGCAGAGATCTGCTTCATCAGCTTCTCTAGCTGGAGAGTGACACTGAATGCAGGAAGTGATGTAATATACATCACTTCCTGCATTCGGGGACTGAGAGGAGATCAAAGGGAGTTCGTATACTGCGGATCGGGAACAGTGGATCTCGGGACCGGCAACGGCAGTGACAGCTGCTAATACAAGCGATTAAGCGTCTCTAGAGACGCTCGATCGCTTGACTGTGTTAAGCTCCCGGCCGGCCGTGTAATTACAACGGCCAGCCGGGATGCTGCTCGTCGGGCTCCACCGTCCTCTCGTCACAGACGAGTGGACGAGTGGATTTTTCAAGCCCTGCGGATTGCCTAATTTTTTTAGCAGCTATGGCAATAGAGCAATTGTAGGTGTGCAGCTTTGGTGCACTTGTGGTGATTATGGGTGGTAAATAAACAAGATATTTACCACCAATAAACAAGATAACATTTACTTTCCCCAAAAAACTAAAACCCTAAACCCCAAATCTCGTGTCTAATCAGGTGGCCGCTCACTGGGTTTTAATTGTGTTCGGCCACTAATTTTGTTTGCTGTCCGGCTGTCTAGCAACCCCCCCCCCCCATTTCTGTGCCCAGGACAGCCGCACCATTGCTCCCCCCTCCCCCTTCCTGGTTGTTATGCCACTGAGAGTGAAGTACAGTTTCATTTTGTTACTTTAATAAATAGCCTCTATGGATTTGAACTGTGTGCTGCCACTATCATTAATCATTGACTATCATTTAAGTGCACCTAATGTAAGCAAGATGTATTATCCTCTTGTAATCATAGAAACCAAGATAACCTTGGACAGGAAAGGGGCAGAACTATGGGCCAATGAGTTGTGTTGCAGCGCTCCCTGCGCGCTGACGGCTTCCTGGCGGGCTCGGCACGAGGCGCTTGCGAACACGCCCGAGCTCATCACTAGTTATAATCAATGGTCTGATACAGAGTACTCCTATCAGCATTGTAAAGGCATCCTAGGTCACATTCAGAACTAAGTGAATTGTCCATAAATGGAGACTTTTTTTTATTTCTGCCAGTTCATTAATGTGTGAACTTTAAACCCTGGCATCAGAATAGCCACATTGCAGATAACTTAATAAATGCCTCTCAGTTTACCAAAAAAACAAACAAAGGGTTATACGGGTTTGTGCACTACAATCCATAGCATTTATGCAAAAACAATATTATGCAACTGCAAACTAAGGAAATTGGTCAATGAGCCAAATAGGGTATTATAGGTTATTTATTCTCTAGTAAAGATTAATATGTTAGGAATTAAACCCACGCATATAAAAGTTGTGCCACAGCCACTTTGAAAGTAAGGGTTGTTCACTATGACACTACTCGCCCACCTTCTGACAAGGATCGATTTGTTATTGTATTTTACAACATGCATTGCCTTATTTATCTACTGGATTACTGGATCTAAGAAGAGCAAAGGAAAGATGCCTCCGGGCCCCAGACCTCTTCCTTTAATTGGAAATCTCAATCTGGTGGACCTGAAAAAGCCATATGAGTCACTAATGGAGGTAGTACCAGTTAATATTAATACATTGAAAGCTTATTTACAATAGGGCTACTTGGCTATATTTTTTTGTATTTAGCTATCTATCTAAATCTTTATTATTTTTATTTATTTGCTTATATTGTACTGTTGTATGTAGTCACCTTATTTGGACTAATAAAAACAATTGTACAGCCAGATTGTAGGAATGAGGTGATCACTATTCATCTACTTTTAAGTTTCAGAGTGACAGTTTGCCAAAAGAACCACCATCAGTGTTTACAACCATTATTTAGTAAATAAATTGCTATTGTTTTATATATATAAAAAGTACATATTTGTAAAGTTGGTATTTATTTATTTAATTTATTTATTACATGTATTTATATAGCGCCGACAATTTACGCAGCACTTTACATAGTTGCACATTCACATCAGTCCCTACCCTCAAGGAGCTTACAATCTAAGGTCCCTATCTCACATACATACATACATACAGGGACAATTTTAGAGAGGCGTCAATTAGCCTACCAGCATGTCTTTATAGATATATTTATAGAAGTAGCCATCTTAGCACATAGGGATACAATTATGCTTATTTACACTAAAATAATGGGAAACTATGGCATCTATATCATTTCATTTTACATATGTATGTGCTTTTGGTTAGCTTAAAGAAGAACTCTGGGTATAAATATACTTATCCCTTGCAGTGGGGCTAGCCCAGCACTGCAAGGGTAAAGTGTTTGTTTTCATCTAGGAAAACAATAACAAAGTTATACTTCCCTGAACCTTGCAGCCAGCTGGCTGTTAGACTGGTCCCTTTAGCCTTGCTCCCCCTCTGCTCCAGCGGTCTAACGTCCTGTGAGACATCCTGTCCTATTCAGTGTATTGGGCATGAGGGTGCCAAGGCAAGACTGGATCCAAAGAGGAAAGCGGCTGAAGGGATTTAAAACATGACTTTGACTTAGTCAGTCCATAACCCATTCCTTGGTGCACTTGTTAGTGTGCATAGGATCATTATTGTGTTGAAAGATCCATTTCTGGTATACCTTGAAATTGTGGTTAGGTGACATCACATTCTTATTGAGCACACTTTGATATGATGCAGAGTTCAGTGCTGACTCAATGACTGCACGCTGGCCAAGCCATAAAGCAGCAAAGCAACCCCATATTATAACATTATTACCACCGTGCATTCATGTTCTTCTCCTGAAATACCATTTTCAGTTTGCATCAAGCATGTCTACTTTTCCTTTGGCCCAACAACTCTATCCTTGATTGATCAGTCCTCAGCACATTGTTCTAGAAGGTCTGGTCTTTGCCTGTATATTCAATGTCAAATGTTATCTTGTTTTTGGACAGCGAAGGGTTTTTCCTGGCATAATTCCCACACAGGTTAAGTTGATGCAATCTCCTTCTGATTGTAGAAACATGCACTTTGACACCAACTGTTGAAAGGTTCACTTGCAGGTCCCACAATTACATTCTGGAGTTGTTGGAGACTTCTTTTGCCCTCAGACTGTCAGCTCTTGGGTTGGATTTGCTAAGCTGGCCAATCATGGACAAATTAACTGATATTTGAAAATATATGCCATTTGATGATTATTTTATTTAAAGTGTAATGATTGATATTAAATCATTTTGTGTTACCGCTAAAATCCCTTGCCAGAATTATAGGCATCCACCAGGGCCGTACTAGGCTATTACATAGTTCTGCCACTGACTGCAACCTTTAAAGGGCTACAAATATCAGCTATACATCTTATAGCAATGCAGAATGGCACCGGCTATAGAGGACTACAGATCCCAGCAATACATTATACAGAAATGCAGAGTAATACCATCAGTAATACCATCAGCTATAGAGGGCTACAAATTACAGGAATGCAGTATAATATGAAGCTACATACTCTGTGTTGCTCTGGGGTGGCGGCCATATGTCTCTAGGATCTCAGGAGAGCTGTGTGGGTCTCAGGTGGGCTGTGTGGGGTATCAGGAGGTTGTGCGGGGTCTCAGGTGAGCTGTGTGGGTTCTCAGGAGGCTGTGTGGGGTCTTAGGTGGGCTGTGCAGGGTGTTAGGATGGCTATGTGGGGTCTTAGGAGGCTGTGAATGGTGTTAGGTGGGCTGTATGAAAATGAAAAGCTGTTCACGGCCGCAAGGAACTAAGGAAAACTTCCCTATAGTTATGGCACAAGTGGGCCCTAGTTGTTACAATGGGCCCTGGGCAATTGCCCACTTTGCCCATTGGATAAAGTGGCCCTGGCATCCACAACCTTCTTTCTGAGGGCCTTAGAGAGCTCTTTTGATCTTGCATAAAGGTACTAGATATCGAAGGTTTAAAAAAGGCATACTTCCTAAGGGGGCTCTATTCCTTGGCTCCTAATCTGGAACACCTAATTCCAATTCAATGGCTTTGATGTGGTGGTAAATATAGGAATTAAGTTACCTTTTTCGTGTGACAAATCTGCACTTGCGTAAATTTAGATTATGACAATTAATACTGCATGTCAATTATATGTGTCATTTGTTCAAATATATCGCCCACCCAACTCCTATGGCGATGTCACATATGCACAGTTGTGTGAGGTCCTGCTAAAGCAGAGACTGTAAATCCTACCTGGCAATGGGTAGGCCATAGAAAGGAGAACCAGATAAAGCCATGAGCCCATGACCATAGGTCTGTACTACTATTTAAACACCAGCCTGGTTCACTGCAGTGCATTAATGCACATTGTGTCAGGCGTTAACATGGGCTGTGTCAATGCAGGCCATTTATTTGAATAGACTGCCTAATGCAGCTGAATGGACCGGAAATTGTGAATGCTGCATTTTTCGACAACACAACATACTGCAATATACATTAAGCTCAACAACACCAATTCGCCGGTAATGTGAGTTGGGGCATCATTCGAAATGAGTTGCAGTAATGTGCGTGTTAATGCAATGGTATGAAAAGACCCTTGAGGTCTCATTTTCTGGTGTACCCAGTTTGGTAACTTGAGCAGCAACTTTTGGAAAATCCTGTCTGCTTCAACCTAAGCAATTCTTTGGTCAAGTGACCATTTTCAAACAAATGATCATTTGAAACAATTCAATCTACAGTTGTTTGATTGTTGATCATTATACTGTATTTAGGTCAGTATTGACACAGGTGAGAAACAAAGAAGAAACTTTATTGTTTCCAAAAAGTTTTTTTTTAGTGTTTAGTATTTACTCATAGAACCAAATTTATTATACTGTAATTTTGAAAAATACTGTATAGTCTATGTATTCATTTATATTAGTAACGTCTCACTCTGTGATGTAAATGCCTCATTGACTGGGAATTTGAAGCAATTATACAAATGGCCCAATAAACTAACCTAGGGACAATTCCAGGCTCTAGATCTGATTAGGGCTGATGGTTGTTGTTAGAATGTGGAGTGCCAGTAAAGTGACTTTACTGGAGTACAGGCAATTTACCCAGAAATCTTTTTTGGAGATGATAGATTACATACTTTCCCTAATAGAAACACTCACCCTAAGATACCTCTGACAGCAGTTGAGCAGGGTTATAAATTCTATTTACATCAAACTGGGAATAATATTGTATTGCAGCTCTCTGAGAAGTATGGAGAAATCTTCACTATACACTTTGGACCCAAGAAGATGGTGGTGATCGCAGGATACAGCGCTGTGAAGGACGCCCTTGTCAATCAAGCTGATGATTTTGGAGAAAGAGCAGATATGCCAATCTTCAAACTATTATTTAAAGAAAAAGGTAAGCTCAGTTATTATTTCATGTATGGTTTAGCTTTTTGTGATGATATGGATCATTTATACAAATAACAGCAACAACTTAGAAAGTGCAGTAGGCCTGATTATTGGATAAATTCATTTGTTTTTAAATTTAATCCAAGGACACATAGAAATGATATGGGTTACCACTTCATTCTTGGGCTACCAGTTATGTAATAAAGTGATCATCATTCACACCATTTTAGTTTTCCAATTCAGAAGTTAACTCCAATTATACCCAATGTAGTAAATATTACAGGTTGATTTATTAATGACAAATCGCCTCTTCACTTTGCCAGGGAAGTTTCCCTTAGCTTAGTAAATGAGGTAAAGTTTCACTTTGCAAAGAATACTCAATCACAAGCAAGCAATACAATTTTTTGCTTGGACATGATTGTGTGATGAAATTCAAGAGAGTTTCACCTCATTCACTAAACTAAAGGGAAAACTTCCCCTGCAAAGTACAAATTCCCTTGCAAAGTAAACAGCCAATCTGCCTTCAGCAAATCAACCCCAAAGTGTCTCATGCACAACCTGTTAGTATGGGTTATTAGAAGCCAGTCCGAGCACTGCAGTGATATACAGATAACTCATGATGACTCTCAGCTTGAGTATGTAGTTCAGTTTTGGTCTCCAATCCTCAGAAAGGATGTCCTTGAACTATGGAAGGGCAACAAAATTAATAAGGGGGAGGGAGGAGCTAAGTTATGAAGAACAACTACAGAAATGAAACTTGTTCTCCCTGGATCCCCTCTCCTAAGAGGGGATATCATCACAATATACAAATATTGACTGCAGTATTGGAAATAAACTATGTAATTCAAGGACTCTGAAGAAGACGCGTGACCTCAACATGAAGTTGGATGAGAACCGCTTTAATCTTAACAACTTGCTGACCGAGGTGTTTACACCCCCTTCCTGTCCAGGCCATTTTTCAGTATTCATCGCTGCGGTACTTTGGCTGCCGTTTATTCCGTCATGCAACGCTGTACTGAAATTAATTTTATGCAATTTTTTGGGGACAGATAGAGCTTTCTTTTGGTGGATTTTAATCATTTTATTTTTTACTATATAACAAAAAAAAGTAAAGAATATAAAAAAAAAAATGGTTTTCCCTTTATTATTTTAGGAAACATTTATTTTTACCCAATTTTTTAGTAAAATATAAAACGGGGTCACGTCGGGTAAATAAAAAAAAAAAATGATACCTTGCCGCACCCCTTACTGGGACTCCCCACAAAGAGACGGGTGATCGAAATGACTGTGGATGGCGCCGCCACAAGTCTCTGAGCCCTGACGAAGGGGACCCTGTGTGGCCCCGAAAGCGCTTGCCAATGAGAGACAGCATCTGTCAATAAATTAGCATCTAATTGCTGTTATTATCGTTGTTGGAGTGCTGGTGACGTCTTCTTTTTTACGTTAGGTAAATAGACACCAAACATGTCAAGCCTTAAGATTGCACGCGCCCGCGAAATCGCAAAAAAACACCATAGCCAAAATTGGTCATAGGCGACGCTTTAAATGATTTTACTGCTCATCAGTTTAGTGTTATCAGTGATTAATGGCCCTAAAATTATTGCTCTCATTGCGACGTTCGTGGCGATATGTAACACGTGCAGCATAATTGGAGCAATCATCGTTTTTGCGTGTAGGCGCATCTAACGCATTTTTGCGCATCTATGTTGGGGTGGGGGACTTTAAAAAAAATTGTGTGTTTTTTTTGTTTTGTGTGTGTAAATTTGTATTTATTTATTTTTTTTTTCCTTTTTTTACACGTAACTTTATTGTTATCACATGGGGTGCTAAGAAATTCCCTATGTGATAACAAATTACAGTTACAGGTCCCCTTTATAGAGACCTGAGGGGTGTGTAAGACCCCTAATGTTACCTAGGGACCCCCAGAGAAGCTGATGAAGCACAGATCTGCTTCATGAGATTCTCTCCGGTTTCTGTACCGGAGAGTGACAGAGGAATGCAGAAGTGATGTAATATACATCACTTCCTGCATTCAGTGACCGGGAGGAGAGCGGAGGGAGATCGCGTACTGAACTCCCTCCGTTCTCAGTGCACAGAGCCGGGATGTGGCGGAGATAGCGACGGCAACGAGAGGTAAGGAGGGGGGGCGCACCTTCACTTGCATCATACAAGCGATCAGGCGTCTTTACAGACGCCGGACCGCTTGTATGTAAACGGCCATCGCTGGGCGTTTCAAATCCTGGCGGTTTCCCGCTTGTACGCGCCAGGGGGCGCGCGCGAGCGGGCGCGGGAATGAAGGACGTCTAAAGACGCCCACCCGCATCCAGGAGACTCCCGCCCAGCCGCCTTTTTAATGTTCGGCGGACGGGAGGTGGTTAAATTGCGTAAAAGGTTATTTACTGTCAGAGCAGTAAAAATTTGGAACTTCATTCCACAGTTAGTGGTATCAGCTGAGAGCGTAGATACTTTAAAAAAAAACATTTAGATGAGCTTCTTAGCTCACAAAATATACAGTGGTATGGATGTTCATAATGACATGTACACACACATTAATAAATTGTACTAGATCGACCTGTGTCTTTTTTCAGCCTTACAAACTATGTAACTTTGTCCAGTGACAGTACAGAAGCATAACTGTCTGGGCTTTCATTGCATTCTTAAGGGTCTTTATGAGTGCCAAAAGCAAAACAATTACCCCAAAATCCAACTGAACTTTAGCTTCGAGAAGTTTACTGATTGGTTATAGTGGGTTACTGCACAGTGCACATTGTTCATGGGCCCTATTAAATAAAGTCACTAGTGTTAGAGAATAAACTTACATTTCATTATCTGTATTTTAGGTATAGTATTTAGTAATGGAGAACCATGGAAAGCCATAAGGAGGTTCGCACTCTCAACCCTTCGAGACTTTGGAATGGGGAAGAAAACAGTAGAAGCCAAAATACAAGATGAATTACTTCCTCTTATAGAAAATTTCAAGTTGCACAATGGTAATGACTTCGATTGAACTGAAACTGTTTGAAATGTATGCCAGTAATAAACAGGGGAGTTTCTGCTTAAGGCAATATACACTAGCTAAGGAAGATGCTGGAAACAAATAGGGTTATTCAGATGCTTACAATTTCTTTTTTTCCACTTCCTGGTTCACTTTGGCACAAATGATGTAATTATGCCCAAGCATTGCATCCCGGGAAAGTTACATCAGTAGTGCATTGCTGGGAAATCTCATCTGTAACCTCACGAGATCTCAGGGAAAGGCATTTTCCTCCCCTGAGATGATGTGCATGGTCACATGTCCTAGTCACATGTGCCAGAGTTCCAGGAAGTAAAGGGAGATCTGGTAACCTGCCCTTAGTTAAAATGGCCACTGTCAGAAGACTGGGGAAGAAAAGAAGAGTAAGGTATGCAAAAAATAAAAAGCCGGCAATTATGTAGAAGTATCTGTTTGTAGATTGTCATTACTAAACATTTCTAAAGGCATCTTTGTTGTTATTTTGAAGATATGGGCAAAGTTCCTCTATAACAAGCTTTACTTTAGCTTAGCTATTATTGAACAAATAACGACAGAGTAGAACTACATTGGCAATGTGGACCATGCCAGGAAAATAAATATTTTGCTTTTTGAAAATGCAAAAAACCTGTACAACTGTGCAAGACTGGCTGTAAGTTGTAACTGAGTGTTAGTTGTAAGCGCATAGGCTTGACAATTATGGAATGTATATAATTGCTTCAGGAAGCATGTGGGCCTTGTGTTCAGTTAAAATATTAAACTGCTTCTATAACTAAACATTTGCACCTACTTTTCTTTCCCTATCATTTTATGTGTTCCAGGGAAGCCGTTTGACACCAACATCATAATGAATAGTGCAGTATCTAATGTTATCTGCTCTATCATCTTTGGGAAAAGGTTTGAATACGATGACCCAGTGTTTAAAAAGCTAGTTGGAATTATAGGTGAAAATGCCAAACTGCTGGGAACACCCAAATTGATGGTAAGTATTCCTTTTTTTTAATGGTCTTTTTAGCTTAGACCTATTGTAACACATGTAGACATACTGCATATGACACTAGGATGACACTAGATATGATTTTTTTTTTGAAACAAGTGTGAAGTGCAGTGGTGTTCAGGAACCTGTAGTATTGACTTAAGGCTTATCAGAGTTTTTTGGTGTGCCCACCGCATTGTTAGGTTGTGCATTTTTCATTGAAAGTGTCTTTTTTATTTCAAAATGCCTGTGTCAATTTAAAAAAAAGTATGTTTCAAGCCAAACCCTTAATTTTTTTATTTTGAATAGAGTAGGACATGGTTATGACCCCTGTCAGGCTTTTTATTTATCTGTGTCCCATTTTGGAGATTTATCTTCACTTCTTGTCTTGTAAACACAACAGGAAGTAACAGGACATCACTCCAATAGGGATAAGCCCAGTGGTGTTCAGGAACCTGTGGTATTAACTTAAGGCTTATCAGTTTGTATCTGTGTGCCCACGGTGATCTTCCGAAAATTTAAGATCTTATTGACTGCCATTGGCCTTTTCTTTATTAGTTGTTTTGTTGTACCTTCACGTCCTGCCCTGTAGACAAGAAGTATAAGGATATCTCTAAAAAAAAGAAAAAAACAATCTTAAACATTTTTCACTTTGGTCACCTGGACAAATTGGAAGAGTGAACTTGATTAGTACAGAATCCCACCGGGAAGGTAAACAACCATTACCGGCTGTTTCATACAAGCGTTCGACCGGCTCTATAGCCGCCTATCGCTTGTATAACCTCACATGGTGCAGCGTCCCCCCTGCTGTCGCGCACCCCTTCGTTGCCTGTTATCCCGGGCACCGCTCTCCCCCCTGCAGTGCCCGGCAGGGGCTGACTGGCAACTTTTTCCTGTGCCGATCGTGTATGTGGGCGGTGCGCGTTAGGCGGGCTGGTCTGGCAGCTGCAAGAGTGATGCGGGGCGGCGTGTGGAGCGTGGATGCGGGCAGGTCTGGCAGTGGCAAGCACGAGGTGGGAAGGAGGTGCAGTGTGTAGAGCAAGGGTGGAGCAAGGGTGATGCAGGGGTCTGCGCTGGCTGTACCAGGTAGACGCGGCATGTTAGAGGGCCCCCTGCTGGAGCCTCCCGAGCACCCCTGTAACATACCTCGGCTCCGTGCCACGTCCCGTGTGCGTTCCAGCGTGGAACGCACCAGAAGGGGAAGCCACCGAGGGTTCCCTCGCCCATTAGGGGAGGTACTATGCGCTCCACGCTGGAACGCGGAAGTGCGCCGCGGCCGCATGACGTCACGGCCGCGGCCTATTTAAACTGCCTGTGAACGCTGTAGGGTGTTCACTATTGGGTTCTCAAGCCCAAACAAACCCCAGGACATTTTGCTCCAAGGAAGCCTGCCTCCACTTACTCCAAGAGGACGAGCTCAGCACCCTGCAGACCAGTGCAGAAAAGCGCAAGTACTTATCAGTGCTCTCTGAGCCATCATATGGGACTTAGAGGTCGTCCTCTACTAGATTGGGAGTTGTGCATAACTTATGGACTGTCTATGTTATACTGCCTTGAGATCTGCATACGTTGTATCTAGCCTGCTTAACCTAGAGGGACTGTGAGATTCATAACCCGTGCTAATATCAACTGTCTATACATATATCTGGAGTTATATTGGGGTGACTAATTGCTCAGTGTAACTACTTGCACTCCATATACTTAGGAACTATCTGGCCTCCGTGGGGTTACGGCCGAGTACCACTCACGCTACCTTTTTTGTGTTCTTTAGTTAATTCCGGCAAATGATGCAAGAACCCCAAACTCTCTGTCTTTGCAAGAGAGTGACGCCTGGGGTTCATTGACTGAGTGCCGCCCATTAATCACACCTCGATCCCTTGAATCCGCAGTTGCGATCCTGACCAAGCTACTTGGAACCAGCGGCTGTGACAACCCCCTTGAGGAGCAGCGGCCACACCATTCACAGAGCCGCATCGGATGCGGAGGGTGGGCGGCCGGGGGTCAAGGGGCCGTTTGTGGTGGCATCAGAGAGGCCGGGGGGGGCAATTGCCACCCTGCCCCCCGGCCCAGTCCGCCCCTGGTGCCCGGGATCGAGAACACCGTCTCAGCGGGTTGCTCATTGGGAGAAGGAAGAGAGATCAGCATTTCCCCCACTGCTGATCTCTCCTCCGTCTCTCTCTAAACTCGGAAGCGATGTATATCACTTCCGCCTTTAACTGTGATTTCTCTGGCTGCTGTAGCCAGAGAAGAAGCTGAAGAAGCAGATCTCTGCTTCATCAGCTTCCTTCAGGGTCCCTAGGTGACATTAGGGTTTTGGGGATCCCGGATGTCTCCATAAAGTGGACCTGTCATTTTTAGCCCCCTATGTGATAGCAATCAAGTTACGTGTAAAAAAAAAGTTGAAAAAAATATAAGTCTCATATAAAAAAAATAAAAAGACACCCAAAAAGTTTTAAGTCCCCCGCACATGTGCATGCACTTATACACGTAAATATGTGTCGGGTGCGTCTACGTGCAAAAACAATTATTACGCCACACATGTTACATATCGCAGCGAACGTTGCAGTGTGAGCAATCATTTTAGGGCCATTAATCACTGATAACGCTAAACTGATGAGCAGTAAAAGCTTTTAAAGCATCGCCTATGGAAATTTTTAGGCATGGTAGTTTTTTGCGATTTTGTGGGCGCACGCAATTTTAAAGCTTGACATGTTGGTGTCTATTTACCCGACGTGACCCCGTCTTTTATGTTTTACCAAAAAATTGGGTAATAATAAATTTTTTATAACATAAAGTATGGAAAATTGTTTTTTTTTAAAATGTACGGCCTTTTTTTCATTATATTGTAAAACATTAAAATCATGTCACATTAAAGTGGTGATTAAATTCCACCAAAACAAAGCTCTATCTGTCCCAAAGAAATGGTATAAAATGTATTTCAGTATAGTGTTGCATGACTGAATAAAAGGGGGTTTAACACCCTTGTTGCATTAGTGAAATAAATGAACTTTGCACGATATTCTAATTATTCGAGTTTCACCTGTATATATATATATATACATACATACCCTGTTCAATTCTAATATATGCGTTATGCTTTACGTGTTTCAGCATAAGTTTGAGCATTGCCCAATGTTTTAATTATTACTGATTTTTCTCCCCAGATGTTTAACTTTTTCCCTTACATCTCAACTCTTCTTGGCATACATAAGAAAGCCATGCAAAACATAAATGATCTCAGTGAGTTTATTTTAAAGCGCTTCAAATATCAGAAGCAGGAGTTTGATACAAATGATATCTCTGGATATATTGATGCATACATTATGAAGCAGGTAAATACTTATCCTCATGTATACATGCTTTGTTATGGCTATGAACATTGGAGTAAACTTTTTTTCATTTAGAGCAGAGGTGTCAAACTCAAATACACAGTGGGACAAAATTTTAAAAATGCTCCAAGTCGGGGGCCGGGCTGCTTCACACAGTATAATACCGCGGTCTATACAGTATATCACGCTGTATAATAGCAAAGCTTACATACTAGTGTGGAGGCAGGAGGTACACAGGTGTCACAGATACTACTTTCAGTATATCGCTCCCCCTCTTCTCCATGACTTCTACAGTCCTGAAGAAGTGATGGAGAAGATATACTGACTGACAGTGTCACAGCACAGTACCTGCAGGCTGCAGCTCTACCAGCTTTCTGTCGTCTGTGTTGGATCCCGATTCCCGCCAAGGAGCACTTCACGTCATCTGGACTGGACCTCGGGACCCCTCTCAGTCACCTCACCTCAAGGCCACACCTCCCTTGTCACGCTGTGCTGCTGCCAGGCTGCCTGCTGGGTAATGCAGTCCTCTGGCCAGCGGCAGCTCTCCGGCTCCTCAGTCCCATGAAGATCGCCGCGGGCAGCATGAGAGAGCTGCCGGTGGGCAGGGCCAGATCTAATGATAATTAATTATCATCAGGTGGGCCAGAGATAATTCCGTCGCGGGCCGCTTCTGTCCCGCGGGCCTTGAGTTTGACCCCTATGATTTAGAGGATAGCTTCATAATTTGAGAACTTACTGGTACTCGATGAGAGGTCAGTTGGACCATTTCAGATGTTGTTTTCTACATTCTGCAATTACTCTAGGTCACTCTCTAATAGGAAGTCTCTCAATCTGGCCATAGACCAGTCGTTTTTTCTCACGCAGTGAAAAAAAAAAATACTGAATTCTGTTCAGTGTGCATGTCACGTCTATTTTATTCTGACAGCAGTGGGTGGGCTGCTGTCAGAATAACCAGTGACTGCAATTGATTGGCTTCAGTCACTTTTCATCTGAAAATTTTCAAGTTGATTTTGCAATTAAAGCAGTGTATGATCAGCTTTTCAAAGCAGCCTGTTTCTGACAGCACATTCTTTTTTTAACAGGTCTTTACATTTTTAACAGTGCACTCTATCTCTATCAGTACAGTCTCTATCGGGGAAGAGTCTCACATGGCAGTTTCTCCCTAACAAGGCATTTTGTTACATGGCAGTCTTTGTCTGACCAAGCAATCAGTAACATGGCCTTTCTCTTCAAGAGAAGTAAAAATGAGGTGCTGGATACAGATTTTTAAAAGGTCAATTCAATTATCACTGGGCATGCAGCAATCTACAAAAATGGGGACAACCCTAAAGAAGGGAGGAAAACCAAGTTGAGTTGAGAATCCACGCACCAAACAAACGTCTGAACGTTCAAGAGTATTTCATTATAAAATTGGTTCAAGAAGGAAAACAGCCAATGCATTTTTGGGGCTACTCAAACTTGCCCCTCATCAGGGCTGCAAAACAAATGCAAATATAAGAGTCATAAATATAAAAATAAATATTCAAATAAAAAACATACATATAAAAGTCAACAGTTTTTTTTTTAATTGAGATGCGATTTTTCTTGAGAGACCAGTGATCATTTTATTTGATTTACTGTTTGTCAATTGAGTGTTCCCTTTTTTGGTAATTGTGTGTAAGATATCTGAGTCTCCCATTCACTGGATCAAGTTATTTTATGCAAGTCGATATACAGTATGTCCCTTGACTTTTATATTTACTCTTTTTTTTATATGTATGACTCTTGCAGAAGAAATCTTACACACATTGGAGTTGTTCACAGAGCAATCTATCTCTTACATATGACATGTATACATTAAGTAGGTTATACACGGTTCAAATTCATCAAGAATCGGCCAAAATTTGCACAGTGGGTGCTGCTGTGAGCACCCTTCCGGCTGGCATCCCTGGATCAGCTGATCTAGGAATCCGATTTAAACATTATTGGCCAAACTGAGTTTGCAGCCAATCAGCTGCACGCTTACTTCACGTATTCTGACAGTGGCCACTTGGGGAAAAAGCAGCGGATTTGTCCACGAAGGCTCGTAAGCATTGATGGAGGAATCTGCTCTATTAAATAGACACGTGTATAACCAGCTTTACTTTAAGATCTGTCAAGTAGATAAATGAGTACATGTGACCCTTCCCCATTGAGAAGTACCTCCATCTTCCTCATAAGAACCTGCAACCTCTCCTTTTTTTACAAACTTTAGATGAAAAAAATGTGCTTGCTTATTGACTGCAGATGAAGCTGAACTCCAAGCAGATATACAATATATAAATGATTGCAGCTCTCTATTTATTTATACATTATCAATAGTGTCTGCTTAATGTTAACTGTGTGCCCAAAGTGCCTACATTTGACTTGGTTTTAGCCTCTTGGAGTCCCTGTACAGCAAGGCTCAGACTGAGGAGGGAGAAGCAACACAAAGAGCCTACCAGCTGTGCCGCTGTGCTTATGTGCTGATATGAAGGATATTATAGGAGGAGGATGTTATATAGGGAAGTTGATTGGAGGAGAGAGCAGCGTGGCAATGCACATCAGTTTGGTGCTTCTCATTTTCTTGCCTGGTAGCATGTTTGGGGAAGGAACAAGACCTGTAAATGTTAATTACTGCAGCAGGGAAAAATAAGGCATCTTACCTGCCAGACAGGGTTGTGCTGTGTGGCAGAGCTGTGTAAATATCAGGACCAGATGGACTAAAATAAAAGTCCTGAATTTGTATTCCATTTGTATATTTAGCTGTTTGCCTAGAGTTCAGCTTTAAACAAACTATTCCATTTATTAACATGTAGCAAGGTGAAATTATAAGTTTACTTCAGAAGTCAAAACCAGGAGCTACATTTTAATCTCTACATTTTAAGTAAGCGGCCATTTCATGTTTGTGTTTTAGGAATCGGGCAAACCTGAAAAGTATTTTGACGATGAAAATCTAGTGTACTCAGTTCTGGATCTCTTTGCAGCTGGGACAGAAACAACAGCTACAACACTACGCTGGGGCATGTTATTGATGATGAAGTATCCAGAAATACAAAGTAATGTTGTGGGTTCACAAACTGCTGTCATTTAGGGGAAACACCTGCTTCATCATCTCTGCTCCACCTCTAGTTACTGAGAGATATGCCAAATTCCTAATTATTGTTCATTGTGTTAGCCTACATCCCAGTAACAAATTAAAGTGACACAAAACTCAGGAGTTAAATCTTAAAAATACATTCAAATACCCTAACCATTAACAAAAATGCATTTTATCTGTGTATCACTCGGCTGTAGATCCTCAAATCATCTCTGAATTGGTGCCAACATTGTCCTTCCTTCTGGAGGGTGGCTACTCTTGTTCCTTGTGTGTTGTAAAGTAACCACATCTCTAAACTCACTCCAGGGATGTACTACAATCTCAACACAAATTAGATAACTAAACGTGAGATTGTAGTCGATCACACCTGGAGCGTACTTAGGAACACACACAGGGACCATGGGGAACAAAAGAATACACCCTCCAGCAGGAAGGACAGTGTCAGCACCAATTCAAAGATGATTTGAGGATCTACAGCCAAGTGATACATGAATAGTTCAGGTACTTGAATGCATTTTTAGGATTTAACTCCTGAGTTTAGTGTCACTTTAAGTCTATGCTCATACAAAGGGCATGATATGGGTAACCCTGCTCAGCCTGCTACCCCCTGTGCGCCCATTTTCCCCACTAGGATAATCAAATTGGAAATAATTATGTATCTGTTGATATACTGGTTTGCAGAGATGCTGATGTAATGTGCTTGCTCCTTTTTTCTAGAAAAAGTACAAGAGGAAATCCGGACACATATTAAACAAGGACAGATGCCTACAGTGGATGATCGCAGGAATATGCCTTATACTGAAGCAGTGATACATGAAATTCAGAGGTTTGCTAATATCGTTCCTCTGAATGTGTCACACAGAACTCCAAGTGATGTGTATTTTCGAGGATACTGCATCCCAAAGGTGAGTTCTAAAAAAATCCCTTCCCATTTTCTAAGTGGGTTATTCACAAACATGCCTAAGGCAGCCGAGTGAATAGCCGAGCCGAAGTGAAGTAAGCCGAACAACTGCTGTACATTGGCTGAAATCAGCCGTACATCGGCTGCACTTCGGTCAGCCAAACATGCTCTGCATGTTCGGCTGAGCCGATGTGCAGAAGGACTTCGACTCAGCCCATCCAACATCTGGATCGGCTGAGCAGAAGCTCAGGCAGCTTCACATAGGGGCCGAACAGCAGTGAGTGAATAGCCAAATGCTGATGAGCAGCATTCGGCTTGGCTATTCTACTCGGTCGCTCCGTGGTACCAAGCAGAATAGCAAATAGTGAAAAGAGTAGAAAAAAAAGTTGAAAAAATTATTTTTAAAAATGTAGATAAATATTCAATTTGAAAAAAGAAAGATTTACAAAAAAATAATTTAAAAAAATAATTAGAAAAAAAACAACAATTGGGCGGAGGTAGCAGTGACAGCTAGCTCCGCCCAACTCGTTTATATTGGCCGACACCTGCTAGAGTCCTCTATCAGGTCCTGGCCAATGGATTACAATTGGGCGGTCCCGGTCGTGATGCCAGTTGTTATTGTTTAATGACAGTTCGGCATCCCCAGGTCATTTGTGGACCAAATGGCCGGCTTTTTGGCAGGCCGTTCACCCCGCTTTGGCTGCCACAGAATAATTTTTTTTAACCCTTGCAGTGGGTCTACCTCTGTACTGATAGGGTTAACTGCTTGTTTTTGTCTAGACTCAAAACAATTTATACTCACCCGAACCTCATAGCCGGCAGCGCTCCCTTCAGCCTGTCTCTTCCTCCGCTGCAGTTGTGGTATGTCCCTCAGTGTCCTCACATCCTATACACAGTTTATAGAACGTGATGACTCAAGGATTCCTAGGCTGCTGCAGCGGAGGGGGAGATACAATCCAGGGACAATCAGCTGGCTCCCAGGATTAGGTGGGTATAACTTTTTTTTTTTACCCTAGGCAAAACGAGCAGTGTGGGGGGTAGCCCTTCTGCAAGGGTTAATAACATTTTTGCATGGAGTTCTTCTTTAAGACACGAGTGGGGCTGCTGTAAAGCTATGCTGCTACTTCATAAATGGAGCCCTAAATTAACAGATTTGTCTGTTGTTTTACTGAAGTAATTTTTTTAGAAAATAGCTCTTCCACACTGTTTCTTTTAAAGATCATTTCCATCCAAAATTTACATGTCAACTTCACGTTCTTAAAATCACTGGAGTCACATATCTTTTTCCAGTTGGAATATTGAATTTATCTGCTTTTTTTGTTCTACCTTGGTAATTCTGTAACTACAAGTAAAACCCTCTAAAACTAACTTCTTAGTCAGTGATGCCGGCTGTTTAATATTAATAATTGTACAATGTTGTTCTCTTTGCAGGGTACAGAGGTCATTCCTTTCCTCACATCTGTGTTGTATGACAAGACTCAGTGGAAGACACCTTATGAATTTAACCCAAATCACTTTTTGGATGCTAATGGGAAATTTGTAAAACGAGATGCATTTATGCCCTTTTCTGCAGGTAGGTCACCAAGAATATTACATGATATATAAATATATAACATTCTATTAGGGATGTTTAGATACCAAGTACCGTACTCTGTACAAGTACAAGTACAAGTACAGGTACTTTTCCAGCTCCAGGACTAGACTAGAGAAAAACATCAAAAGTTAGGAGGCAGCTGTCATGACTGATGGAGTCGTCAATTTTTGTCCTCACAGCCCAAAAAGGCCTCTCCTACCACTCCACCCATGTCCCTAGCCGCACCACAACCAGCTGGAGGACACTTACTCCTTCTGGGTTCCAAGGGGCCAGGCCCCGCCCTTTACAAATCCGGACACCAACAGGGGGAAGCACCCATACCAGCTCAGGGCCCCCCATTTCTTTTATTTTTAACCCTTTCTCCCGGGACTATTCCTCCCCCCAGTCATGTAGCCCCTCTGCTTAGTCTCTCTGGGTCTGTCTTTTTTAGGGAGCACACGGAGCTCCTGGGATTTGTGCATTCCTGTTTTAATGTATGATTTTTTAAATTATTAATAAATATAAGGGATGCACCGATACCATTCATTCAAGTACAAGTACTGATACTTGCCCAAGTACTCACAGATACAAGTACTGATACATTTATGTTTATTGTCATGTGACAGTTTTTCTAAAACAATACAGACTAATGAGTTCAGCACAGTGGTGGAGCGCCAGAGCCAGGTCCCAGCTGTAACCTCTGCAACCCTGGCAGTTCTCATGAAAATGCCAAGTATCGGCACTGGTATCGTACTGGTATCTGAACATTCCTACATTCTATGATATTACACCTTCACTCCACACTATGCCTGGTCTGTAGTACAAGGGCAGGGCAGTACTTTTGTCCTTTAAAGCAGAAGTAAAGTGGCGTTGTGAAGAAAAAAGCATACAAAGCAAGCAACTATGGTGGGCTCTGCAGGGTCACTCTCAGGTGGGCTGTTTGGTGTATCAGGTGGGCTCTGCAAGTGGCATAACTAGCAATCACGGGGCCCCATACAAAATGTATGTTTCCCCGTACAAAATGTATGTTTTTATGGCATAGTGTGGAGTGAAGGTCTCTCAGTGTAATATCATAGAATGTAGGAATGTTCAGATACTAGTACAGATACCAGTGCCAATTCATGAGAACTACCAGGGTTGCAGTGGTTGCAGCTAGGACCTGTCTCTGGCGCTCCACCACAGTGCATAGGAAAAAACTAAAATTGCCTACAGGCAGGCAAAAGCAACTTATTCAGTCTCTTCTGTCATAAAAAAAAATAAAAAAATACTGGTCAGCAATTTTTGAATAAAATACTTCACTTTTAAGCTCTATTTGCAGTCAATAGTAGTATATTTATGGTGTTGGAAACTCTAAATGGAGGATGGGGTAAAATCTATGTCACTAGAAACCAGGGGCGTAACCAGAAATCACAGGGCCCCATAGCAAAATTTTGTATGGGGCCCCTTGATTGCTAGTTATGCCACTTGCAGAGCCCACCTGATATTCCAAACAGCCCACCTGAGAGTGACCCTGCAGAGCCCACCATAGACTTTCTATAGTGGGCTCTGCAGGGTCTCAGATGGGCTGCATACCTCTTACCTGTCAGCACTGTCCGTCTCCGTGGTCGCCGGGCCCTGCCTCCTCTTCCGTCCCCGGGCCCCACCTCCTCTTCTATCGACGGGCCCGCCTACTTTTAGGTCGCTGGCCAGTGATGTAAGAGGAGGTGGGGTTGCTCTTAGGCGGGCCCCGCCTCCTCCTTCACTGCGAACGCCGGCCTCTTCTGCTGCAGCTGACACTGACACAGCTCCACAGCGGCTGTGAGGGCAAATCAGTGATCTGTGTCAGTGGCAGCCAGCACCCTTACATGCCATAGCGACCCAGGCGGCCCACACGGCATCAGAGGAATGCCCTGGCCACCCCTGTGCCCGGGCCCCATAACGGCCGCCTGGGTCGCTATGTCGATTGTTACGCCAATGTTAGAAACCAACCTGAGACAGACCCTCTTGTCCCCTAGTGTTTATGCCTGCTCTTTTTGACAGGAGACAGCGTGAGGATATAAGCACAGCAGTGGTCATGTTGAGTTCAGGCAGGTAAAAGGACCCCACTGTCCATTATTTTGGCGTTACTTAGTCTGCCTACTACTGGGCTATACCAGATTCGAAAACAGCAATGATCCTTTGAGCAGTGTAAACCTATTCTGGTAGGAGCATATCTATGTCATCAAAGGCCTCTGTACTGTGAGGATATATCAATGTTAACCTCTTAGTGACGCAGCTTCAGAAAATGTTTTCGCTTCTGGGGACTGGAGCAATTTTGCCATTTATGCTTTGTGTTTGTTTAACTATAATTTCCATCTTCTTCATTCATTGCACCTACACATATTATATACATCAACAAAATAGGTTTAATTTGATGTGACAAATGCATATATTTTTTTTTAATTCAATACTTTTTTTATTTTAATAGTACAACACATAAAACAACATATACATCCACAATTACATATTAAAACAGCAATACAAAACAAACAGCATTACATACAGACCCACAGAGTGGAATAACCAAAACAAACGAACATAAAAAAAAAAGAAAACAGAAAAAACCTCTCCTTATAGAGTTAATTTTCCTCTCAACATACCATTTTTTTTTCTCCAGCCACATTACTCTTCAGAGTACCCATAGTAAATAAGAGGGATATTATACGAGAGCCATTATACCCAAGGTCCTTTACCATATTCAATCCACTTATCCCACATTTTACCGTATTTGTCCATAGTACCTCTGTGCTTGAACATAATTCCCTCAAATCTAACCACTTTATCTAGTTCTTTCTTCCATTCCTCTACTGTGGGAGGCGCTGCTGAAATCCACCTAAGGGCTATACTACGCTGGGCTACGAATAGAGCCCTCGTTATTGCCACCTTTGTGTAGTATTCCACTTTTATGGGTCCAAAAATACCCAGGATACATAACCTGGGATTGTTAGAGATATGGACTCCATAGGCTGTATTTATTATATCTACTATTTCCTGCCAATATCGTTTCAACTTCGGGCATCGCCACAGCAGATGTATTAACGAACCAGGTTCAACCCCACACTTTGGACATTTAGAGTTTTCCCTGAATCCTATCCTATGTAGGAATTCAGGGGTCCGATATGTTCTATGTACAATATAGAGCTGCGTCAATTTGTGCGATGCAGATGGTGAAACTAACTGGATTGACAACAACGCCTCCCTCCAGAGGGCTTCATCCAGAGGCCCCAAGTCCATTTCCCAGCCCACTTTACATTTCATGGGAGATTTATTCAGGTAGTAAATTTGCATACATCTTTGAGATCAAACCTCTTTTTGTTTCTGAAATTTCTGCAAAATTGGTATTAAATTATCTTGTAAATATGCCTCGATGTTTACTCTAATCCTTACACCCAAATAAACAAAAGACTCCACTATTTGTATATGCTGAATTTGCATCGGCAGTGGACATGGAAGAGGATCAATCGGAAGTAACATAGATTTTTCCCAGTTGACACATAGCCCTGAGAACCTACCAAATTCCAGAAGTAGAGACATTACCTCTAATAGAGAGTGATTAGTATCAGCCAAAAATACCACCGTATCATCTGCATATAGTAGTATCTTATCCTCTGCCTTAGACAAATGCATATATAAATTATTTTATTTATAAAAAAAATACAAAAACTTGCAAATAAATGAAAAAATAATTTTTCACAGCTTTGGCAAAAATAATGTGCACATAATTAGTGCAGCTAACAGAAAGTAATTCATAATACATTTTTTTATTTGTCTTGATTTTTGGGGTATATCATATATCTGGGATTTCAGTTTATTTTGGGAGTTATAGGTCACAAAATACAAGTAGTGAAATACAATTTTAGTGTGGAACTATGTTAGAATGTGGTATGTTTGTCTTCTATTTTTAATAGCCTCCTAGGCACTATATTTTCCTAATATTTCATAAATCACAAAATTTAAAAATTTTATTTTATTTTTTCATTTTTTTTTACACTACGAGGCACTAAGGAGTAATTTTTTTTTACTTACAGGGGCTTTGATACTTAGTATCTCTACGTAGAATACAGTATTCTCAGAGATACTTTGTATCACTTTTGTAACACACACCTGGCTAGCAGTTTACAAACACTGTGAACTGCTGCCGTCTGTGACTATAACAGCTCTGCGATCACACGATTAGCTCCCGCTGTGATCACAGGACTATGACCACCTAATCTGCTGTTGAGGGTCTCCCTCAGACCCGGAGGGGCTCATTAACAAAAGTAACCCAATGAACTGCTGGTCCCTTCACGGACCAGCGCTTATTGTATTGAATGATGGAATTATAACGTCACCGGTCATTAACGAACTGAACGATCGTGACGGGATAATCCTGTCATTGGTTGGGAACTGGGTAAGGTGCCTACAGGCAAGTCTATCCAAATGGTTATGGTCAAATGAGAAAACAATTTAGTGCTGTGTGCTTTTTCCAGACACCCCTGATCTACTGTCTTTGGGAGAGGCTAGTTTTTCCTGGATGATGAGTATTTGTTTCTCCTTATAAAAGCCAATACCAGCGATGTTCTCTAATTTTACCCCCTCCTAAAAAGGACCTAAAAAGGGCTGAGATGCAGGGTATAAAGAACCATCCTGACTTAATCAGAGCACCCTGCAAGGGATAATGAGCCTTCCTTCAGATGGCTTCCAGGTTCTGTCCCTCAGAGTGGCAACAGCTATCAACAGACAGAAAAAAAACATGGTAAAAAATCGTCAGGCAAGGTTGTGGTCAAATATGCAAAGGCCAGGACAGATGGATTACCAGCATTGTACTGCGACAGAATTCATAGGTACAGGTTCCTGGGAACAGATACTCAGAGGTCTTTGCTCAGGCAACTCCCAAGTGCACTGAGCAGGTTTAAATTGCTTTCCCAGACATGACCTCAAAGATAATGTCTAGCAGAACTTCTTGCTAGGAACCAGCAGAGGGAGTGCGAGAATGTCTAATTATGCAGACTCATAAAGACCTATGGCAGTTTTCCAGGCATTTAGAAAGAAGGAGGAACAGGAATCAAGTAATGGACCTAGGTGTGAAAGACCTGACTGATCCTGCAAGGACTGCAACATGAACAGCTTTGGACAGTGATACAAGTTAACTCTGAGAACTGTTACAAAAATGTTTATGAAGAAACCTTTCATAAGAAAAATCTTTCCGCAGTCTGATTGTACCTGCACCCAACCACCATCACTGAGTAGCTTTAGAGTGATGACATCTTCCATGGGCAGTGGGAGCCTTTGCATATTATTCCTGTGCACTGATCATATAGTGACAGTAACCCATAGCTGATTCTCAAGGATAGGAAACAATTAACCAGTTCCCTTGGTTTTAAAACTTTTTTTTAACAAGCTTTTTTTGTCTAACATATTGCTGTTTTCCCTGATGTTGAAGTGCTTGCCATCGAAGCCAATGCGGTTACTAATTGTCAAATTATTAAAAAATAAATGATAAGAAAAGCAGAATTAATATTGTAAACTAGTGTTATGCTTGATAGGTATCTTGTAGTGGCAGACAACTTCGCAGTTCGGTCCTTAGAGTATATTTATTGCAGGGTTACTCCTACCACTCTTCTCCATCCATAGATTTAAATTCTTTTATTTGCAGACTGCTGAGCTTTAGCTGAGCACAGCATATGTCATCCTATGTTGAATTTTTTCCTCCTGAATTTTTCACAGGAAGAAGAGCTTGCGTTGGAGAAAGTTTGGCCAGAATGGAGCTTTTCCTGTTTTTTACCGGCCTTCTACAAACCCTCACTTTTTGCCCACCTCCAGGAGTCTTCAAAGAAGATATAAGTCTCAAGCCTGGCATTGGGTTCACTTTGGTCCCTTTGCCACACTTAGTATGTGCAAAGCTGAATTACTAGTCAAGAACCACAACTAAAAAGCAACTTATTTGTTTTGCAAACTATACATTTAGCTTCTGTATTATGTTTTATAAATTATATGTCGCTTTGATTATTACTTTAATTATGTTGTACTATAAAGCTGCAATGTCTCTAAATAAAACTGTAAGGCCCAGTACTAGGCCAACCTGTAGTGTAATTCTTTACATTCCTGTGTCTGTTATTAGAGAAAATTATGTATTTGCCTGCAGAGCTTAGCAACCATGTTCAGACTGACCCTCCCTTAAAGTGACATTAAAGACTACAATCGGCAGAGGCACAAGTAAGTAATAACTAGGGATTCACCAACACCGGTTTTCCGGTATCGAGTACGAGTACCGATACTGAGTACCGATACAGGTACTTCCGGTAGGATAGAGTCGGCTTCCTGGGCAATCAGGGAGCTAGGCGGCGTGTCATTGCCCACCACCCGACTTCTTGTTTGCACGGGAAGCCGACTCCATTCTGTTTGGCCGGCTCCTTGCTGATTAGCCGGGAAGCCGGCTTCCCAGCCAATCGGCATCGAGGCCGGCCAAAAAGATCTGACAATATGGTGACACAACCTCCACCTGGGGACCCTGATCTGTCATTGCAACTGGCCGGAGCCAGCCATGAGTTCACGGCTGGCCCCACCCAGCTGTCGGTTGCGAGGCTTTCGGGCCGGCTTCGGGTTTCAGCTGAGTTTTGACTGAGCCGCCCGGACCGAAGCTAGCCAAAGGATCAGCCAGAGCTACGGCTGATCCTCCGGCTAGCTTTTTGAATGACCCTCATAGTGTTTCTCAACTGAATTAATGTATCACAAATCAGCAAGCAAACAGGTCAGTGAGCCCTAAATGTCTTCCTTTTTTAGGAACCTCAATCTGGTGGACCTAAAAAGCCTAATGAGTCATTAATGGAGGTAGAACATGTTAATATGAATATCTTAAAAGGAAGTTTAGAATAAGACTACATAGTTATAATATATATTTTATCTATCTGTATAGATACATTAAATGTATGGTGTATAGTGAGGTAAACAAAACTAAATTCGACAGAAGACTGTTCTCTGGCCAATCTTTTTTTGGGGCTGTCGGGGTTGCATTACAACCACGGTCATGTGACTTCCTGTTGTGGATCATTCCTAAACAAAAATTCAGACATATACGAAATCCGCATAACAAACCGTATCAAATGTTGGATCCGAAAAACTAAAGAAATAAAAATCCGAATTGATCCGAAACTAAATAAAACTAATTTTTTGTTGGGGGTTACATGTCTACATGTCTACTTCACAGCTCAAATATAAAGCTGAGCAACTACTAATACAAGACCCAGTTCTTAATAACAGCATAACCCCCAGCATTATACACTCAGTATATTACTAAAATCTAATAATAAGTACAAACATAAATGTTGTCCTCGAACGTTCTACTGCTAAAACTCCTTTTATGCTTGTTATATAAAAAATAGCAAAGGGGAGAAGCAATAGTGCTACCAAATAAATTGTGCTCCTGAAGTAGTGACTTGGCCATTAGGACAGAAGGATGAATACAAAATTCTCTTACCCTTGGCTGCAGTAGAACCTTGTAGACATCTATGAGGCAGTGTACCGGGTATACAGGAGCCTCTCGGGAGAAAGTACAGCTCTATGAAAGTACAGTTATCCTTTAACTAAAGCATATGTTATCTTTGGACAAATAAAGTACAAGTAAAATGGAACTTAAAGGAAATGTATAACCAAAACCTTGTTTTTATTTTGGATAGAGTAGGGATGTAGGAAACCTCTGTCAGGTTATTTTGTGCTGTCTCCATCCCACTGGGGTGATTTTTTGTGTTGAATGATTTACCCTCACTTCTTTAATTTGGAGTTTTCCCCTGCAGTACTTTTTTTTTGCTACTAGATGTTCTCAGTCTGATGGCCAGCATCATTCAACAATTTTCCTCTGATCCCAGGTCATCCTGTACTCGCCCCAGCCTGTGACTGGATAGTGAAAGGAGAAACAGCACAGTAATGAGCTCATCTGTCTGTCACTCTGCTTTCTTTCTGTCAGCATGCTTCTTGTCAGCAAATGAACTGTTTTGCTCCTTGTAATGCTTCTTCTAATTACACTCCAGCCCTGCTGTACAGGTACTGCAAGAGGCTGATACCAGGTCAAATTTGGGTACTTTTTCTGCTTGCATTTAAAAAATAAATTTGGGTTATTCACTAAGGAGCTGAACGATTAATCAGAGCGTTCGGCTAATCCTTCGGCTTGCTTCACCTGCAGGAAGCCTTCAGTTCAGCCGAACGGAAAGGCTGTTGTATGGGCTTTTCACAACAGCCCATACAGCAACCGAACTGAAGCAGAGCATTCTCCCTGCAAGTTGTAAACAGCGTGGGTTCCCCCTCCCAATTCATACCAGATCCATTAGGTCTGGTAGGAACGTTAGGGGTGACCCCCGCGTAAAAAAGAAAAATATGTGTGACCCTTTAGGAATTTTAAGAGGGGAGCCCAATGCTCAAAAATGCAAAAAAAACAACAAAATGTGGTGTCCCCCCTAAAATTCCATACCAGACCCTTTATCTGGGCACTGGCCTGGAAGGACAGGTAAGGGGGGGATGAGTGAGCACCCCCCCCCCCTTCCTGCGCCATACCAGACCACTTGCCCTCGGGGGGCATCTGGGTACCCCCTTTTCCCCCCTGCGCCATTTTTTTTCTGTTTTCATGTAATTTTTCATTCAGTTCGCTACCTCTGAGGTATTGAACACAATGACCAAGCCAAATACTGCACTGGTATTCATGCTCTGCTGTTCAGCCTCTTTGAGAATAGGGGTGAACAGCAGCAAGTAAACTGCCGAACATTCGTCTCAGCTGATGCAGATGTTGGATCGGCTGAGGCGAATCGGTTCTTGCCTTCGGTTCTGCCAAACGTGCTGTGGCTGTTCAGCTGAATCAAAGGGAAGTGAAGGGAGCCGAAGGCAGCTGATGTACGGCTGAAAATAGCCATACAGGGCTGAAGCGAATAGCCAAACAGGCTTCGGCTCCCTTCACTACGGCTCGGTTATTCACTCAGCTGCTGAAGGCAGCTGAGTGAATAACCCACTAAATAATTATGATTCATTTGCATCTTTTATATCTTCCTAAAGTTCTGCTTTATAATAACTTTTAGCATGCTGAAAAAATAGCTTTAAAATCATGAACAAATATTTGAAGGACATAATCTGTAAAGCAAGTCACTGCCCTTGGCCAGCTGACAGCTATGGATTGCCTTTTAGTCTGCATCAGTCCTAAAGTTATTGCACACTCTTGACTACTCATAAAATAAGAATAGCAATGCAATAATACTATCACAGCCTTGCCAGGTAAAATGTTCCTGACATGACTATATTCAGTAATAGCATGTAGTAATATTGGCTTACTCTGTATTCCAGGGTTTAGCCTTATCTATCAAACTCTTCCAAAGCTAATATTGCAGTGTTTTATTTTTCAATCGAAGGATGTCAGGCGTGAGCCAGCAGACAGGGCAACTTTGTCAAAAAGTCACATGGTGGGAGGCTACCGTAGGGGGCTGATCTGCATTAGACATTTGTGAATGCAGACAAAAACTGCAGATACACCAGGATTCACATGACTGTGTCATTTCTGAGCCAGGATCTCAGTGCAGGAACTAGCTGGTGCCTACCGTCTGACCACATTGATATAGGGAGTACTGCATATTTCCCAATTAGTACAATTACCCTTCATTTGAAGGAATTCTGCCTCTTATGGTAACAAATCCCTCTGTAAAGCTTTCATACTTTTTTGTCCCTCTCTTTGGACTGATGTATAGGCCTTTATAAAATATTGGCACTATCTAACTAGAAAAAGAAACATTCATCTAACACCTATGTTATTCTATTTGTTTTTTCAGTATCCAGAGTATCCAGAGTTATGGAAGTGTAGTAATAAAACAAGCCCTTGGTTAGCCAGCCATTTTCTTGTGTAATAAAGCTCAACTCCGCTCAAAATGTATTTTCCTGCCATCCCTCCCTCCCACCTCACTCACAGGTGTTTTTTTTTCTTACCTTTTCAAGCAAATTATACTCACCTGGGTACCCCTACACAGGTCCCTTGCTAATGCTGTTTTTGTTGGTGGGGACAACTAATCCAGCTTGCTGTCTGGTCCCCTTGATTCCTCATAGGCCAACATCTCTAGTCCTCTGGATCCTGAGAGGAAACCTTTAGTAGACAACCAATGGAAATCGTCCATGTCACACAAGTAGTGAAGTGGACATCCAGAAGAAAGACCCCTGCAGGATGTAAACAGGTTTAATTATTTTTATCCTGGAGTTGGGCTTTAATTCTTTGTCATCCATAGTACTGGGACTGTGGCAGGTGTGTTTCCATTGCCTACATACTTTGCCCTAAAAGGAATCCCTCTTTCTAATGCTACAAACTTGCAATGTATGGTGCAGGGATTGATAAATCTTAATAAATTAAGATTTGATTAGGCTGAAATAAATCATGTATGGTTGGTAGAAAAGACTTTATTTAAGGGGATATCTTGTCAACATTGGATTTAAACTTTGTTGGCTTCAACTTTGTTGGCTTCCACTTTGTTTGGCTGTCTGGATATCAAACCTTGAATTGAATTGTGGTGGATTATGATACCCCTTGTTTTAGTAGTAGTAGAGGACAAAGCAGCTTTATTACTTTATTCTTCCCTTTTCTGGCAGACGGTGCTCTCCTCCACTTTCCAGGGCTCTGGGACATTGTCAGCGATACCGGCACAGGTGACCCCACACCTGTGCCGGTACCCACGCAGGCAGACTAAACACGTATGACCACATCGGACAGGGCAGAATGTATTATATACGGTTTATTAAACAGCAACACTAAACAACACCCAAAGCAAACATAAATATCTGGAACTCACTGCCATAAGGTCTAGAACTCACTGCCATCGGCAGTGATTTCAGCCAAGAGTGTAGATTTGTTCAAGAAACGTTTGGACAATTTCTTGAGGGACCGTAATATCCAGGGATACAAGTATTCCTAAGAATGAGATGATGCGTGGACCTATATGGGTTGGACTTGATGGACGTATGTCTTTATTCAACCCCAAATACTATGTAACTATGTAAAAAATGAGTAACATCAACAAGACTACAAGCAGGTAATGGCAACATTAGGACAAGCAGGTAATGGCAACAGGAGGACAGGCAGGTAATGGCAACAGGAGGACAGGCAGGTAATGGCAACAGGAGGACAGGCAGGTAATGGCAACTGGAAGACAGGCAGGTAATGGCAACAGGAGGACAGGCAGGTAATGGCAACAGGAGGTATCTAGGACTGCAAATGGGTAACCGGGCTCGGGACACAAACAGGGTTCAGGACTGGTAACAGGGTTCAGGATTGAAAGTAGGTTTCACCGGAAATGGCGACAGAACTGGGGACTCAGGATTCACAGGAAACAGGAAACAATACTGAGCCATCGTCCTGACTGTAGGGAGGGTTTAAATACCCTCCCAGGAAGCACCAGGTGATGGCTAAGTGCTGAGAGACTGGGAGACACCCGCATGTGAGCACTGGAGCAGCAGGTTCCAGCGCCACCCAGTGGTAGTCTGGTACCTAACAGTTACTGACTGCCCAGAGACACCTGCAGGTGAGCACAGGAACTGCAGGGCTGAGCTCCAGCGCCACCTGGAGGCGCTCTGGATCCTAACAGACATCCACAGGCCATTATTGTCCTCATGTACAATGTAGGACTATAAAAACAATATGGGGTCTATTCACAAAAGGGTGAAGAGTTTGGAGAAGGCAGGAGAAGTGAACAATCTAGGACAACATAGCTGAACTGGAAAGTGAGCTGAATTGGAGAATTTTTCCAAATCGGCTATTTTGGCCTAGATAGTTCACTTCTCCTGCCTTCTCAGAACTCGTCACCCTTTTGTGAATAGACCTGTATGTGATCAGCGCCAGTAAATAAATGCAAATAAGAGCTAATAGGCACTCAAGATAAATAAAAAATATCTAAAACATGTATAACAATCATGTGACGAGCTGAATAAATATCTACAATTCAGTGAAATATGTGATATGACGATAAGATATATAAGTATATGCTTTAAAAAATATATTCAAAAGAGCATATAAAAACATGAAAAGATGTGAACAGAGTGATAAAAACAAAGTCCAATGTGCAACAATTATAACCGTGCAAATAAATGCAGGGGATAGTCCACCACTAGATAGATCCAAACTTCCAAGTAAGCAGTTGCCACAGAATCCTGACAGACTTTCAACTCCACCCAGTGAATGCAAAAATTGGAACAGCACTCACCTGGGGAGATAGACCCACAGAACTAGGTCTAAAGGCGCGTTTCCCTTCTTAATAGGGGAGGGAAGCCCATATGAATGAAGACCAGATAACTTCCTCAGCTTGCAAATAACATCACCATTTCAATGTTCAATGAATGGAGGATAGTTAAGCCAGATATATGCGTGTCAGATTTCAGTTCCTGATAAACCAGACGAAATTTGCACCGTGAGTGCTGTTGTCGCCACCCTTCCACCCAACATCACTCGATTAGCTGGTTGGAAAATTATCGGCTGAAAGTAGCTAGCAGCAGTTAACCGCTGTCAGAATATAATGGAAAAAATGGAGGATTCGTCCCTGAACGCTCATAAATCTAATTGTCATTTATACCAGTACCACAAACAAAATCTAGTAAATAGTAATTTATCATTCCCTTAAACATTTTGCCTACTATTGAATTTACACTTACTGGTCTGTAGTTCCCAGACTGGCATCTTAAAGTATATTTCTAATTTTGCAGCCAAATTTAGGAAAACTCCTCCATATGTTTGTTATGTGTTCCTATTCACACAGCATACTAGAAAATTACTTTTAAAATAAATTCTTACCTTTTAGATGTTTTGTTAAATCAGGCAAGATGGCTGATTCCAGGTTTTTCTTAGCCCTTTAACAGTGGTCTGTCCCAATGGAAAGTCTTGGGACTGAAAATTGAACCATCACATTCCGTCCTAACATTAAAAAGAAATAGAAGCACAAAGAAATGTTAACCCTTAAAACCCTAACCCACGTAAAAGCTATTTAAACTGCAAGAAGCTTTTTTTTTTTTTTTTTAGCTTATGCTATGTGAATGGGAACATGTACCAAATATAAAATAGGTGTTATCCCAATTTGGCTGCAAAAGTGGAAATACACTTTAAACCTTTTTGGAATATAGGTACTACTGTCGTTTTGCACCAGTCAGTTGGTAGGTTTTATTTAATATTTTTTAGGGACATTTCTCCAGGACCAGGCAGAGCTTGCAATATGGGAATGCATGTGCAGACACACCGTAAAGTATTTTCCAGTTCCCAAAAACCTGCAGTGTGTCTGTGCATGAGCGGCATTCAATTCTGCTCCTGTTCTACCATCTTGAAAGTCCTTTGCCTGGTTTCACACCACACATGCGCAGACAGGTTGCAGGTCTCTGCCAGGCCTTTACTGCATGTCTGTGCATGCGCAGACATATCACAAGTTTCTGCCAGATCCCAATGAGTTCTCAAAGGAATACAAGTGTGGTGACCTCACAGCACTTGTAGTTCATTCATTTTTCCTCCCATGCCTGTTTCTGAATGTTTATACAGGCATGGACGATTGGAGAATCTGTAGGAGCAATAGCATTGTACTCGTGATACACTGAACATGGTTGCAATGCTTTACTGGTTTCAATGCAAACCAGCCTGAGCCAGAAAAAAACACTTGTTTTAATCCCCAAGCTCACAGTTAATCAGATTTTTATTAAAATAATATTAGCCCAATGTTTCATTTATTATGATTTATTTATCCTGGATCAGCACTGTTTAAAATGTCCCCTTGTAAAAAAGATATTGGGGGGAATTGATCTTAACTTGAACAGACAGAATCTGGAGCAGTTGCCCAAAGTAACCAATCAGCTTCTCTCTTCATTTTGTTCATTTTAGCTTTGGAGATGAAAGAGAGAAGCTGATTGGTTACTATGGGCAATTGCTCCAGATTCTGTCTGCTCCAGTTTTATTACATTTCTCCCATTGTATTTATGCTCTCATACATGTTCCTTGTTGTGAAAATGTTACTGCCAAAGGGTAGGTGTATAGTGGGGGGCAGTGACATTCTACCACCCCAGGCAAGCTGGTCATATCAATTTATAAATGTATCCCAAATCACATTCAGCAAAGAGTGCTCCTGCTTCTGCCTTCTCATAACCTAGATGAGTTTGTCCTGTGATACTAAGTTTAGTATATAGTTTACACCGTAATGTGATTGATGTGAGTGTTAATTTCTGGCATCAAAACTGTCAAAAAATACCCATTAACTTCATTTAACAAAAAAAAAAAAAACGGTTATACAGGTTTGAAGAGTACAAATCATAGATTCAAGATTATGTATTCACAAATTAGAAAACCTGGCCAATCAGGCAACAGGTTGCTGTGGTTTTATTTGTGCTCTAGTAAAGATTATTTTGTTGAGAAATAATCCCATCTGTTTAAATGTTGTGCAGTGGCTCAAAGAGTATATTGCTCTAAAAGCTGTCCACTATGACTGTTCTCAGCTACCTCCTGACAAGGATTGACATTCTACTGTATTTTACGGCATTCATTGTATTATTTCTATACTGGATCCATGGATCTAAGAAGAGCAAAGGAAAAATGCCTCCGGGCCCCAGACCTCTTCCTTTTATTGGGAACCTCAATCTGCTGGACCTGAAAAAGCCATATGAGTCACTAATGGAGGTAGTACCAGTTAATATTAATACACGGAAATCATATTTAAAGCAACTGTTATATTTTTTTATTTAGCTATGTATCTAGAAATACTTTATTATCATATTTTATTTCCTATTTTGTACTCTTGGCAGGCATGTAGTCCCCTCATCTGAACTCTGTGAAAATGTTGTACAGTCAGATTCTAGGAATGTTTTCCTTTTATTGGGAACCTCTATCTGGTAGACCTAAAATGCTGTATGAGTCACTAATGGAGTTAGAACTAATTATCTATCTATCTATCTATCTATCTATCTACCCATTATCCATCTATCTATCTATCTATCTATCTATCTATCTATCTATCTATCTATCTATCTATCTATCTATCTGTCTGTCTATCTATCTATCTATCTACCCATCTATCTACCCATCCATCTATCTACCGTGTTTCCCCGAAAGTAAGACCTACCCCGAAAATAAGACCTAGCACTATCTTCAGGGATTTCTGTAATATAAGACCTACCCCGAAAATAAGACCTAGTTCGGTGGTAGGTCGTATATTACAGAGATCCGCTAGGTCTTACTTTCGGGGAAGCGGCACATAACTGTGTAAAAACCGGCCGCAGCTCCCGCCCCGCCAACACGCCCGCCAACACACGCCAG